TTCAAAACCCAACTCTCATGCCATTAGAAAGAGGATCATGAAAAACCTATAAAAAAATGGTTCATGAAATTTTAGTTCACTCATAAAGCTAAAGTCCGCCTGCTCTAGCAAAAAATGCCCACTGTGTTATAGAATAAAGATTCATTGTTTCATTAATTACAGCTAAAAATTATAGTAAATTATTTCTTTTTAGTACAACTTTTGCTCATACTATTTTTTTCAGTCAATTTTTTGATAAAGTTTAAATATAGTAGATGATAGAATGACAATAAGAAATAACTTGAATAACTTTCAAGCTTCTTTCAATTTATTTCTTTTAATTCTAACAAAAATAATTATTTGTTTTCAAATCATTTTCTGCCAAAATTATATAATTTCTAGATTTTCAGAAAATTATATTTGCTCGAGAAATTCATCCATTCTGATAAGTAAATGTTTGTGTTGATTATATAGTGATGATCTTGATACATGTATCATTTCATTTATTTTATTTCTAGAATCATTATCAAAAGTAGAATAGTACATATTTTGTTTTTCACTACAACTAATAAAAACTTGGCTTTGTGTGTATTGTCATCATCGAATGGAACTAGAATATATTTTATTTTATTTTGTACAGTTTCGAAAGATATTTTATTATCAGAATGTTTTATTTTATACTTTCAGGATCAATGGAAGAAAACGATAATAACTCAGAAAAGGGTAAAATTGATCGAATAGTAAAAATGATTATAGAAAAAAGTATTTAAAAAGGAAGCAAGACTACGTCTCAAAACAACATCTACTAATGCTAAGAACACTACTAACAATCAAAAGTAGATGAGTTTTCGTTATTACTACTTAATCATAAATAAACATCGACATTACTAAAAGTTGCCTATAACGTTCATTATCTACGCCACAAAAGAGAAAATGAGCAAGATGATGATGATGTAATAGTCAAACATGCAAGCAATTTTTCACATGGGCATCATCGTCATCATTCAAATCGTAGGTACTGCTTTTAAGAAATAATAAAAAACTAATTGAGCTTCAAATGCTTAACGATGCATGATTGGCTTTGCTTTAATTAACGTAGTCTTAGATTAAGTTAAAAAATTGTTTTAACTTAAAGATAAAGATAAATGGGTAATTGAAGAATAAAACACGAGCTTCTGTTTCACACCTTCCTCTGTGCCACTGATATAACTACCGAATGGTCCATGATTCAATGAAATTTTAATTTAACCTAATGGAATTTAAAAATTATTATTTTCATATCTAAGAAAAGTAGAAGTTTTTAGCTAGTTTACACTTCAAAACTAGCTACATGTGATAGTATAATACCAAAAATTATTCTGAGGATATAATTATTTCTTAGACAAGATTCAGTTTGGCTTTTTGTTCTATCTGACACATCAATAGCTGTTTTACAAATCACTATTTATGGCACCAGTTTGAAATTCATTTATTTTCTTATTGTGATTTATTAATTTAAAACAAAATAATAGTTTTTTTTCTCTTCTAGATACCCCCAGAAATGAAAGTGGTGAACAAGCTATTCATCGACCAAATTTAGTTATAAAACGATGGCGTAAAATAGCAAAAGTAAAATTAGAATCAATTCGTTAATATATTTCTACCATTGATCTCAATTCTTTTTCAGATGATAAAAAAAAATGATCCAGAAGAAGATTCCGAAGAAGAGGAACCTCAATTAAACGTGAATCCACCACCTGTCATGGATACAAAACATCGTTTTTTTATTGGAAAAGATTATGCGAATGCATATGACAAAGATTTTGAGCTTTTAGATAAATTTAATGAAGGTAGTACTCTTTTCTTCGGTTTTATCGACTATGTAAAATATAGTTTGTGTCTTCTATTAAGATTTTATTGATCGTAAAAAAGTGGTAAGAATGCCATGGCATGACGAAGCACTGGTTGTATTTGGAGAAGTAGCACGAGATGCTGCTCGACATTTTATTCAACGTTGGAATATTCATAAGAGTGAAAAATTTAAGTATGATGATTCCTATCCATTTTTATTACCTAAAACATATAGTGATAAAGATGAATTGAGTGTAAAAAATTGGAAAAAGTTCCTTGATTCAAAACCATTTCAAGTTAATGCACAGGTATTTTTAAGATCCATTTATGTTAACAAAAGAAGATTAAAAAATGACTTTTTCTGTTTTCATTTATAGTTTGTACGTTCTGTCGGTCCTTGGTCATGTGGAACTAAAACAATTGAGGCTTCCATTCAAAATGCCTATATTCAATTGATCGGTGAAGCACAACATTTTATTTATATTGAAGTATGTGATTGATCATAGTTTTTTAATTTTAATATTCTAGTTTATTGTATTTAGAATCAATTCTTTATAACTGGTGAAAATTCTCAAATACATAATCAGATAGGAGATGCATTATATCAAAGAATACTTCAAGCTCATACGTAAGCATTCAAGTATTTTCATTATTAGTGAATAATAAATTAAATTAATTTAGATGTAATGAAAAATTTCGTGTATATATTATTTTACCACTTTTACCTGGATTTAATACTCAAAATGCTGTTTTCGCTGTTTTATATTTTATTATGTGTTCAATAACAAAAGGAGATAAATCATTATATAGAAAATTGGAGAAAGCAGGTATAAGTTAACATTTTAGAAGAAATATCTTTTCTCATTCTATTTTTTGTTATTCTTCTCTATTTAGGAGTTCCACCGGATGATTATATTAGCTTTTTTGGTATGCGTGCACATGATGTTCTAATGGGTGAATTAGTATGTAGTAGTAGTACCACCACATAGAATGATGTTTTAGTTTAGAAAAATAAATTTATCCTTTATTTTAGGTTCAAGAGATAATCTATGTTCATTCAAAGTTAATGATAGTCGATGACAAAAAGTTAATTTGTGGTAGTGCTAATATTAATGATCGTTCACTATTAGGACATCGAGACAGTGAAGTAGGCGTTGTTATTTATGATCTTGAAGAAGAGGAAACAATATTTAATGAAAAAACAGTTCAAGTTGGAAAATTTTGTTCAAGTTGGAGAAGAAGATTATTTAAGTATGTTTGTTAACTAATTAGAACAGTGTATTTTATGTATCATTTTTTTATTTTTTTGACTAGAATGATGTTAGGTATTCAATACGATAATCCAGAAAATATTAACGTTGATGATCCTGTATCAGATAAATTTTATTATGAATTTAGAGATATAGCACGTAAAAATACGCTTATCTATGAAGAAGTAAATAGTTTTTTAGTTTTAGAGATATTGATAACAAATTATTATATTCAGTGGCGTAGTCAGGGAGTGGATCCAGACTCGCGAAACTTAATTTACTTTAGAAAAAATGGAATAAAACATTAGTTAACAACAGCATCTATTCTTTTGCATCCCTCTTGATATGATAACTTTGAACACTATGTACTAAAGGATGTTGGCGAAAAATGAAAAAAGTCTGTGGATAAGAAATGGTTATTCATTTTCAGATAGTATTAAGATAATACATAGAACTGAATGAGAAGCACAAAATGAAACAAAAAAAAAACGAAATTCGCTTGGGGATATTATATTGAGTCCTTCTCATAGAAAATTCTGACTGCGCTATTGGTTATATTTTCTACTTTTAGGTTTTTTGGACATTGCCAACTGATCGAGTTCGAAAACTTTGTCAAGTATCATCGTATAATAGTCAACCAAAACTGAAAGATACAGATCCATATAAAGTAAGTTTAAAATTTATATTTTACTTAGAAAAAACAAAAGAACCAATTACTCTACTATTTGTTTCTGTATATTATACTTATTTGTTATTTGCATTTTTAGGCTCAAGAAAGATTAAAAGATATAAAAGGCCTAATTGTTGAATATCCATTATATTTTCTAAATGACGAAAACTATTTACAACCGAACTATACAACTCCTGAAGGTTTAATACCAGTTGTGACGTGGACGTAAAAAAATGTTTACCCTCATCTTATTCTTTCTTTTTGAAATGTTTTTGTGATATTTTATTTTACGGGCAAAAATTGTCTTTTTCAAATTAATATCTTTGTTTATAAAACCAAAAGAGCATTTTATCATCTCATTGCATATCTGTGAAATCTACTCGTTAGACTAAGTAATTCAAATATCTGTTTTCTACCTGATGTTATTGTTCAAACGACTTGTTTTGTAATTAATTTTTATTATTATTATTATTAGAGTAATCTATTTTCGTATATTGAATTTAAGTAATTAATTTTTGTTTTTTGTGTCTTTCAATAACAGTAATATATTTGTTTTGCACATACTACTTTTTTTAAAATCAGTTAATTTTTTTGTTTTTGATAAAATTTCGTAACAATTCTTAAATTTTTGGGCAATGTGAAAAATTCTTCGTTTTTTTCTTCCTATGCTACTCTCAGAATTATAACAGTTTTCTATAGATTTTTCCTCATATACTAAGTTCATGCTACAATAGTTTTCTTTTACATGAAATTTGTTTCATGTATTATCCAATTTATACACTTTACTATTTTCTCGCTCGTTTTCCATTTTGTTTAGATCTTTATCCAGCATTCACATGAATTTTCATATTTTTCAAAGGAAAAAGAATTCGAAATAAAATAAAAAAATAAATAAATAACAAAAAAGTATAAAAATACCAAAAACAAAAGGCTTTTAATCAATAGCATATAGAAAAAACAACAACAAAAAGAGCGTACATCTTTTATTTTTCTAACATTGGACTTCGCGATCTGGAGAGAAAAAACTAATTTTAGTAATGATGTAATGCTCTATAGAAATTTGAAGGACGTATATCCCGTCTTGCGGCTCCCGCTACCAGTGTAGCGTACTGCCGAAGGGCAGTTTCAATGGCTCGATACAGTTGACAAGCTTCTGACATGATCGCTCATCTGGTTATTAGTCATCATCAGCAGCTCTGGTCAGAAGATCAGCATAATGCAGAATTCTTTCGTTCACCTACTTACGCTCCCTCCTCGTACATGCTAACATATAATAAGACCAAAACTGTGAATAAATTCGGTTACTCAGAAACTTTTAATGAGATTGATAAGACCAGTTTTTATTACAACATCTGTCTTAATCAACCTGTCGTCTTGTCTGTTCTCCAAAGTCTCTCTCACTAATACACACAGGAGATGAGCCTAGTCATAGTTGCACGATTCTTGTCAATTATAGTGATAAGTAATAAGAAAAAATTTGTGTTAATTAATTAAACCTAAATGAACATCCACGGCTCTTGATATTTTGAACAGAATTCGGTTTAAATTAATAATCTATTGTCATTATTCCTTTTCATTGACTTTTCTTTTCACTCACACGAATCATTCGACGAACACCCATGATCGCTGATAAGGAAAAAGAACATACGTACTACCCATTTTTCGAGTAACGACAGCTGTTAAGTTCTCACTGTAGTTCACGCATTCAAGCAAGTCAGAAAAAGGGTAAAATAGACCTTCACGCTCATTATACTATAAGATAAAAATTTATACTTACAAGCCATAACAAATGTAAGAAAAATGATTTGTGAAATTAATGAGCTTGTCCACAAAAATTTAATTAATAAAATAACTGATGGTATTCCAATAAAGCATAAACATAAAATTTCAATAATTAAATCTTGAGGTTTTCTTCCTACTTCTATTCGTGGTAAACCGTTTCCTTCAAATGTGCCATGTTTTACAAAATATTCAAATGTTTTGTCCTAAATGAACAAAACCATCGAAAGAAGATAAAAAAATACGAGATCAAGAACATATATTACTTTTTCTTGAAATAGTTTATGTATCCATTGTGCACATTTTTCATCGTCCGAATAGGGTATATCTGACGTTGAAAAACGTCTTCAATAGAAATAATAACGTTATCATTGGTAGAATATCTAAGAGAGGGGAAGGAGTGTACTCTCGAACTCTCTCAGGGGTCGTATCACAAAAAAACTTAAGTCATGGGAAATGTAATCTTAAAGTTAAGACCAAAAACTTAAGTTGGACTTGAGTCACTGACGCATTTTTTGAATAGATCAGGCATTTAATGATACGATTCGACGAAAACGACATTCTAAGGATTAGAGAATAAATATTTCGTTATTTTGCGGGTTTTTATCCGAAGTTAGTCACTGTTGTCAACGACTTTTAAAAAGTAAACGAATCGCTAACTTAAGTCTTTTTCGTGATACGGTTTATGTCCCCGGAGGTAAGTCGGCCTTAAACTCACACTTAAGTTTTTTCGTGATACGACCCCCAGGACTCTTATTTTGAGTCACCATTAAAATTTGAAAGTTGTTTTTCATTTATGGTGCGCAAAATTTTCGGCTATTTTTTAAGAAAACTGCACGCCCAAAGCGGTCATTTTGACCGTTACTGTTTTTTTTAAAAATTTTATACTTAAAAATGGTTCTGAATTCAAAAATGAATTAAAAATTCTGCAAAAAATAATTTTTGTGGGACAAATTAAAAGTT